TATAGAAACCAACCGACGTCTAAGAAAACAATTATTTTGAAACAAGTACAGACAAATATTGATAAAATTATGAGTGAAAATCAATAATCTATTTTACATGTTCATTGAAGTCAAAAATCACCAGATGATATTGTTCAATTGAAATTAATTCCAAATCACAATGTAATATATTTCACTGATGTAGATAAATGTAAAAAGCGTAAAGGAGTCTATTTTTGGCTTCATAATTGCAATACTCACGGTTTACCACAAGATTTGAAACGTCGAGGAATTTTAACTCAAATTTTACAACATCATTTGAATGCTTTAGAAGAATATTAATTCATGTTAATATAAACAAAATTAGAGAGAACCAACCATAGTTGATGAACAAAAATATCTATTTATTCTTCAATAGTTAATATATTCTATGTTCCAATCTTCTCTTACGTTGAAGCCATTTTTAAGATGAATATAAAATTTTAATTAAATGATAAAATAAATTTTTAATTTAATAATTATTAATGAAAAAGCATTGTTTCATAAAAAATTATTCTAAAATTTTTAATTAACAAATGCTTTTGTTTTTTTTTGTCTAATGAAATGTTTTTTGATAAAAAATTTTAGTATACTTTTACTAACACCATTTGAAATGATTTTTCGATAATAATAATTTTAAGATTAAAGAGATATATTTAAAAATATTATTAGGGTGAGTATGGATGTGGGTCCGGGGTGTAGTATGATGTGGATAAGATACACACCCACACCCAACCACACTCCGATATCCTTAAATGTATATATATAGAGGTCATATATGAACATGTTATTCCTGAGTGGAGCCTTCTATACTAAGTTTATAATGAAGTATTGTCACAGAAATAGTTGACTATTATGATGTAGCATAAAAACAAAAGTTACCGTCGTAATTAGGGACAAAAAATGACTCAAAAGTCATAATTAGGGATAAAAACAGTTACCGTCAGAATTTGAGAAAAAAATTGGCTGGGCCGTCAGAATTAGGGACAAAAAATAGCTGGGCGTCAGAATTAGGAACAACTTTTTTCATTACCCTTGGGTGTCTTCATTCCAAGATCTGTATCTTGGTAAAAGAAAACAAAGTTGTCTTGAAACTTTAGACTATGATAGAGCTTGATTCGCTCTACAAAAATGTCTCAGACACCTACCCTCCCTTTCTCATGAAAAAATTGAGAACAATAGTTTTTTTTTTTAAATTGAATTTTTCTATGTAATTTGACAGAGGCGTCAGAATTAGAGAATTTTTTTGCTGGTCTTCAGGACTAGAGAACTACTACCTAATTCTGTTAGGTGCAGCTATTTTTCGTAGACTGATAATTCCACTATGAAAGATTGAAAATTGAAAGACCAAAAATATATCGTTTGAAAGAGGAGAACCCAGAGATTACGGCAATATAAAAATATTTTCACTCGGATGTGAAATAATCGCACACTATTTGAAACAAAAAATGGTAACATTTTTCCGACAAAATTAGGGAAATGTACTGTATGTTTCCATGATATTGAACAATCTCTCAATCTACAATCAACATTGATTGCACTGCACATCAATGAAGAATTTACCAGAGAACAAAATGATAAAATATTTTAAGAATTATACTTGATGATATACAATCGAAGACATTTGTCTAGGAAGTCTTTCGTTCGATAAGATTCAATTCTAATTATGTTAATTGGAATATCAAATACTACAGTTTTCATTCTTAAATGTTTATTAGATTATCACGAATCAAACAAATGTAGATAATTCACATGAGTTCTTCAGCTTTCGTATCGCGCTCAAGTAAGAAAAGAGATATCATTTCAAATAGAAGTACTTCATCATATCTTTAAATCGCTCGATTATTTACTTATGACAATAAATAAGTAAGAGAACCCAGGGAAAATAATCAAATACCAATATTTGACAAGATTCTGCATCGGATCTTGCACGATCATACGACATGAAGATTACAGAGAATCGTAAGATCTTCCAAGTATCTTATACAATGATTTACTGTAAGAATTTTTTATACGATTTCGTCCGATCATGCAAGACCTTACATCTGATTTTATTGATCTGGGAATCTAATACTTCTAATCACTTTCAAGTATTTTTTTTTGGATTAATCAGAACTTCTTGATTCATAGATCATATATTCTTTTATGAATACATACAACTTTTTCCGTGAATACTTTTAGATAAAAGCAAACATTTTTTTTTCATTTTGACTAGATTCACAATTTGAAGCGAATGACAAAACGTGTAGACAATAAATAGAATCATAAATGTTAACAAAAGCAATCTATAACTTCTGCTTTCAAATAATTTTTAAAATTTATTCATATCTCAAAATATTTATTTCCTACAGGTATCAATACCAAAACTCTCTTGATTCTTGAATAAATACAATTTCATTGGTGTAAAAACAAAACTAAAAGGAACCATTCGGTAGATCTCTTAGGTACTTTTCGACGTATATCACCAATTCGATATTCATGACGAATCCTAACAATTTCTGACTTAGACTGTGGTAAATCTGATGTAATTCTTTTCCATCTCTTATCCAAGTTAATATTTGAATCATAAACTACGAAATATTGTTCGACTTTTAGTGGTAAAAAATCATTTCTTGTTAAATATTGAATAATAGTATTATTATCGATTAATGCATTTCTTCTACCACTATTAAATAATCGCATTGTAACAATATAATACATATTATATATGGATGGTTTTTCAAATGCATTATATGATAGATAAAGATTTTGTTGTTGACATAATTTTTTTAATTGTCTCAATTTATTTTTTGATTTAATAAATATTTTATAATGAAATTCGAAATAATTTGATTTTTTATCCCAAAAGAATAATTTATCAATATCATTCTCTGGTATACCATTGTTCGATGGTAATGATTTTATTTTTAATCTCGTTATATCAAAATCATTAAATGTATCGGTAATTAAAGTTTTCATTTGTTCAACTATATCAGAATATATTCCAACATGATATGAAGATGTCATTACTTGTTCAATATGATCTTCATCATTTAAATGAATACAGATTACTTTAATATTATTTATTTTACAGATATTTAAAAATTTTTGTATATTTCGATTACGAATTGTAATATGAACTTTAAATTCACCATTAATAATATTTGTTGGTACAAATTCATCGATTATTCTTTTGTATCCATCACTTTTATTTTTTAAATAATCAACAACAAAATCAATGTTTTTCATATTATTTATAAATATTTGTTTTATTTCCGATAATACATATGATACACGTTTAAAATCATAAATTGATTTTGTTCGAATTAATTGTTCACCAATATCTAAACATCTAAGACCATGAAATAAATATTTAAGTATTCGATCTTCATCTCGAGTTGTCATATGCAGAGCATCACATAAAAGTTGATTAATTGTGTTTGATTTTAATTCTGTCGAGATATGATATAAATTATCTTCATCATCATCATCAATTACATATTTCAAACTCGAATAATATTCATAAAATACAACTTGTTTTAATCGTAATGGATTATAATATTTTGATAGATATATTCATAGCAAATCGAGTCGATTTCTTGGGGGGTGGTTTACAAGAGAACAGTATACATCATTCGATTCAGAATTTTATAAGGATTCCAAATATGCTACTCCCTTTCTGGGACAACTCTTAGTTTTTGAGAAAAGAACGAAAAACTAATTTACATTGACAGTAGCGCCTTTTTTCTTTTCTGTCATTTCTTCTTCGCTTATGAATGTGTTCTTTTTTCTTTGATATCTTTTATTTTTATATATCGATATGATGAACAAACAGAACGAGAAAAAAATAGCTATATATACTGAGTATTAAACATTGATTTCTACAGCTTTTTTTATATTCATTCTGATGAGTTATTTTTTAATAAAAGGCATCAAATCTTATTCACATGCCAGACTGCCTATATCATGTTGAAATTACGCAAAAAAATATTTTCTGGTTTAATTGAGTAAGCTACCTGATTAATTATGAAAAGAAGTTTTAAATCTTATCTTGCAAATAGTTTTTATTAATACTTTCTTTTGAAAAAAAAAATCGCAAAAAAGATGAAAGAAACAAAATTTAACTAAATCGCACATACACACGTTGAGTATCTTCTTTGAGGAAAAAATAATTTATTTAGTGATGATTCTTGAGCTGAAATAGTATCTTTTATATTCCAATTGAAAAATAATTTAGTGATTGCAGTTAATCCACCTTGTCTCAATGCTATATCAAGTAGTCTTAGGCGTATACGTTTGTGTAATAATTGAGTATTGAAGTTTCTTTTATTTGTTGACATAAAAAAGTCTTTTGTTGTTACATCATTGAATTTTTCATTGCCTTGTAGACTATACAATCCAAGATTATCATATTGTTGGTGAAATTCAAATGCATGGTTGCCAAGAACATGTATATAAATCGTTACGGCATCAGCACCAAATAAGCTTTTAAATCTCTCACACCAGGTAATTGATTGTTGTTTAAGAGTTTTAGTTATATTAGTAAGATTATATAACCGCATTAAATCGAAAAAGTCGTTGCATAATTTCTTGATAAAAAATGCTTTCTGATTGTCTTTCATTATAGCAGATAATGGTAAATCACGTAAAAAATGTTCATGCATTTGAGAATTTAGTCTTCCTGAAACTTCAATTTCGTTTTTCCGTGTTAATGTAAACTTATGGTTTGTCTAAAAGCAGAAAAGCCTTTATTTTGATAAATAAGTTAGGAAGATAAGAACGAATTAGAAAGACTCTGCAGCATGATGGAAAGCTGATCAAAGACCTTCACATATCTTACTTTTCAGAAAATCTTCTTCTAATCATGACTTCTCTATACTTACTCGAGTATCTTTTGCACGTTGTTTCAAAAAAGTCATGACGTTTTCTAAGTGTTGTGGTCGTTCAGCTATTGTATTTGTTACACTAATTAATGATATTATTTCGGCTAGTAATGTATCTGATATTCTTAATTTCATATGCAAAATGTCAGGAATAACTTGCACATAACTAAAATAGACGAAATTATTAACGTTTGAATTGAAAACGTATTAATCCGTTAACTTTTATCTTGACTCATCTGCGCTACAAGTAGAAATATGTGCAATGAAAGATATCGACTTACTCTAGTTGTTTTTTAAAAAATGGTGGGTGCTGATAACCAAATCCTGGCTTTGATTTTGCAACTTCCACATACTGTTGTTCCAGACTTCTCGCGCCGTTATTTATATAAAATGCCGAGTATTTGCCAAACTCAGCCATATTACAAGACGTGCAATGTGGGCATTTATATTTGTTGTTACCTAAAACACCGTAAGATACAATCTGATAATCTCGATATATGTATAAGATCAATCAGATCATTAAAGCTTATTGCGGATATTACCTGTGATTCCATACAATCCCATCACTTGCCACATCATCTTCATATCTAACGGCATCTGGATATCTAGTTCGTATTTCATGTTTTTTAAATAAACCAACTTCTTTTCCATCATATTGATAAAATCATCTGGTATGACACGTTCAATTTCCGCTCTGTTCTCCTTATCAAATTTGAACTGACCTAATGGTATAACATTTGGAGCTGTCTGCTGTTTTGCACCAGATTCAATACACGTAATAGTAGACATTAGAAAATTTGTTGATGTTCCAATTGTAGTACCATCCATATTATGCTTAACATGTAGTTTTCGATTGTCAGTATTATCCAAGACAGATGGATCACTGTGAATTAATAGTTTAATAGCATCATTTATATCTAAATATGCACCTGTATATAAAAAATAATAAATGTCATTATGTGTCACATAAAGACGACACTGATGAAGTCGGCTTCGAGTAGGAAGCACTGCAAAATATATTCTTGCCGATCGCTATTTCGTTCTTCCTGCATTCATCTATTATTCCTCGATTATAGAATTTTTCCTTGTATAATATAACTTTGTATTATATAGTTTATATGTATCGAATTTCTTTTTATTTTTCAATTGATTTGATTGCTTCTTCAAAGACAATCAACCACTGTGTTTTAAAAAATTGTTCTTTTCATCAGCATCATGTATAAAGAAAAGAAAAGCAGAGAAATTTTCATTTGCAGCTAAGTCTACTTTAATACTATTGAAATATTCCTATAAGAGAAACTTGTCTCTTTTTCAAAAATTGGAAATGGGTCTTCTCCAATCAACGTAATTTAAATTCGAGAAGTTGGGAGATTACGAAATACACTTGTAGTGAGCACTCTCTTGTGTATATAAAAAATCAACATTTGATGAAAATATAAAATTTGTTCTTTTCGCATTTTATTCTTTTGGCAGAAAAGTTTCTCTTATAGGAAAGTTTCAATAGTATTAGACTACGATAAATTGTAAATGAAAATTTCTTTTCTTTTCTTTTTATACGTGATACTTATAACAAATCATTTTCTGAAACATGGCGGTTGATTATCTTTGAAGAAGCAATAAAATCAATTAGAAAATATAAAGACGTTCGATATATATATATGTATATATATAAGCCGTATAATGCGAAGTTATATTATACAAGGAAATATTATAATAGAGAAGAGCGACTGACCAAACGGAATATATTTTGAAACTTCCCTACACTCACCTTGATCACATTTCTTAATTGGAATATTTTTATTTAATGTAGCTCTCAATTTTTTCAAATGGTATAATGTTGGGCATGAGCCATGTATTGATTCCAACTGGTTCAAAATTCTAATGGCTTCATCAGTGATGTTATATTTATCTTTAAATCTCATAAATTCTAAAAGTTTGACATTTGATAGCAGAGCATCATCAGCAGATCCATCATCGTCGTCGTCTTCTGAGGATTCATAATACGTCATATAATCATATTGTATTTTTGTCAGTTTTGATCTATCACGTAAACTGTATCTAAAATGAAATCATCTGTATAATAAATATTATCTTTCTTCAGACTCGCAAGGCTTTTACTTGAGGAAGGATTCGTCATCAGAACAAGTGGAATGAGGACCAGTAGCGGTTGTTTGAACGGTTTTGATACGTTTTCGTGCTTGACAACAATTACTTTGATCAGAACGTTTTTGCTGAAACACTGTCGAGAAACCAGCGAGAACCTAGACGAAGAAAGAATTTTTAGCTTTGGATTCCATCTTCAACTTAATTCTACTGAAGTATTAGTACTTACACTTGATGGTACAGTTGTTGGATTATTAAAATTAACTAGACTTGTATCAAGATCACTTTGTTTGAATGCGGTGTTATTCACCTGTACGCAAAAATTCTGGAGCTGTGAAATACTCCCAAATTATGAAAGATCATCAATTGCTCTTTTACCTTTCGATTTTTAATTGCAACTTTTATCAAATTACTGCAATAGTGATACGACTCTATTTTACGATGACCAGCTTTGAATTTGGCTTTGCTTTTCAGCATATTTAACTAAAACAAGAAAAGTGCTTTACAATAGAATTTCAAAAAAGATGTGATAGATGGATAATGGAAATATACTGTTGGAAAGTGTTCAAATCCAATGTAGACAAAAACAGATGTAGAAGAAAGGAATAATGCAAATAGGCATACTTTTCTTTGGATCTCTTTCTTCAAATCATCTTCAGGAACTTCATTGGCGTTTGGTACAATTGATCGAAACTTTGCAAGTATAAGAGGTAAAACATCATTGTTTAATCGTGGATTATTCTGAATAATATCTCCAATATCAATGCCAACGGTCAAAGTATCTTGAACAATTGTTGTACTCATTACGTTTATCTTTTTGTCGTTTGAAATGTGCCTTCTCATAGTATACATATATTTAAGAACAACTTCTGAAGATAAGTGCCATTTCTTATTCTTAATTATCCCCATACGTAAGATGTACAACTTATTTCACTTGTTAATTATGTGTGTAAACTTATGTTTGAGATACGTGATTGTATGTAAATTAGATTACATTTATGCATAATTTATTTATTCAATTTGAGTTACGAAAAAAATACATATAATCTTATAGAAAAATGTTCTTAAAAATCAGTAGCAGTTAAAAGACATACTTCATTCTACATAAAATTCATAAAAGACAATATCATTCTGAAAGCTTTAGTTAAAAATACAAACTGTTCAGTTACTATGGTAAGTAATTTTTTTAAATTCCGAATGATAAAATATCTAGCTTTTTAACCGAGTTGAGAAATTTTCTAGTGAATGAGGGATATTCACAACTCGATTAGTGACTGCGAATATGCATAAAAAGTGACCATATAAAAGCTTATGTGTCCCTAAGAGCGGCTTCTTTCCTTTCATTTATCTTGTTCAATCGTGTTTCAATCATATGATTGAAACACGATTGAACAAGATAAATGAAAGGAAAGAAGCCGCTCTTAGGGACACA